TGGGAACTGGCTTTTAGTCCCGGTTTCCCAACCGGGATTACGGATCCGGAAACTAAAGGGCGAGATCTTTAGTCTCGGGTCACGCAACCGGGACTAAAGCCCATCCAAACCTCTTTTATGGTGCGTGAGATTTGAACCCAAGACCCCTTGACTCGCGTGTAGCTTCCTTACCAACTCAACTGCACACTATATGTGACAAAGTTTTGGGCGTTCTCTTTTTGAATTCACCCGCGGGGGACCTTTAGTCCCGGGTGCGAGACCTTTAGTCCGGGTTGGTGTTATCAACGGGACTAAAATGTCACCGGTTGGAGGACCTTTAGTCCGGTTAGTAACACCAACCGGGACTAAAGGATGACTTTTAGTCCCGTTGATATTACCAACCGTGATAAATGGGCTTTCGGTGCATGTAAAATTTCGACTCGGGACTAATGCTCATATTAGTCTCGAACTCTAACGCAACCGAGACTAAAGGGTGCGAACCTAAAGTCGTTTGCTCTACTGGCGTTCGGATAGTAAAAGGATCAGACGACATCAAGGAAAGACGTGCACTCTGTTGTTATATAAAACCAGTTCCTAGAAAAACTCTCGTGGAAATTGGGTTCCCTAGTTTGTTGGGTGATCGAAAAGACAGATTTTTATAAAACCAGAGATCCAGCTAAACATGTTTATATTATACGGAGTATCTTACGAGAGTCGTGCGGTCACCGAGACTTGTGCGGTCCTCGCCGGCTGGCCCCACACGATCGGCAACCGACGGCGAGGTGGTCCATCCGTGCTATCCGGCCAGTCGGCCACCGCCCACGGAGGACGGGTAATCCGCTCGATGAACAGTTGCAATGTGGTACGGTACACTGTTCTTCGGAGACAAGCACGGCTGACGTCATGCGTTCCCTCCCACTTGAGGCCCTGAGTCCGTCTCACCAAGCAAAAACTCCGTTCTACCGTCACAAAAGGGCGCATGTTTACGTTCCGTGCCGTCACAGCAAAATTGTCATAACCATTTTTTCTAGCCCAAAAAGTATCTCTACGAAATAGCGCTTCTGTTTCCGTAGCTGTTTTACCTAAACTTCCAACAGATTCCGCAACGGCAGCAAAACCTACGTGATGTCATGTGTTTAGGAAAAGCTCCGCCGGGCAACGGTCACATAGATTTTAGTTCGGTCTTTTTCTGTGAGCAGACTCTCAGCTGTGTCAAAAAGACAAATACGAACACGAGCAATCTCAATCAATTAATATAACTAGTTAACATGTTGCCATTTTCTTTCTAGAAAACATGCGATCAGATTAATTCAAAACTAATTTTGGGCTATAATTTTAAGTGAGCCATAGAGTTGTTGCATGTAATATTATAATAAAAGTATATATATATATATATAGGAATACTCATTTTGTATTTACATAATCATTGGGTGCGCTGTACATTTGTATAAATCACGTTTCCTAGTGTTGTTTGCTCCAATGGAGTCTTGAACTCCCAAGGAAGTGATGTGCTCTGCTATGCATGGTCCAACATTTTGGTGCTCTAAAAAAACTCAGGCCATTCATGCATTTCATGCAAGAAAATTTTGTATATAAAATAAATATATTTGTTTCTAGTATTATATCTCCGAAACTAAAATAAGATTAAATAAAAGTATTGAATGTACCGGTTCTACATCTCTAATACATCTCAAAGGACTATTTTTTGTGCTCTTTCCAGTGGGGTCAACATCCTTATTTGTGTTGGCCAAAACTCATGTGCTCTTACGAGAAACACCTCTTGACAATGCTATGTACAATTGGCCATAGGAGAAAACTGGTTCAAGAGATAAGGAGATAAACACCAATATTTGGTATTGTCTGACCCTAAACTTTATTTATTGTCATTGCAAAACTCAATCTTATTGAGAACTGCTTTCACTTAAACTTGAATGGCAATATAAGGTCTTTAGAGGGGGACATGGGAATTCTTAGTATGAATACTCTGGTTCTTGCATGATCTCCATTAACTATTTCAGTATCAATTGAATTGTTCTGAAATCCTCTAATGACCAACCTAGTGCCGTTGCAAAGACCATTGTGAGGATCAAGATTACGTAGTAGGATAACAGGACAATCTTTTTTAACCTTAAGCTCATGATGAGGCCACCCATTAGGTGTAATAGAATTTAGAAAATCAAGAGGGTAATTATTCCTTGTATCATCATCCACTGAGTCAAAATTGTAGTATACCTTCTCATCTCAAGAAAACTTCTTCATCATTTTTGTATTCATTGCATCGACATGCTCATTTGTAGTAGAAAGAATTGCAAGTTCGCGCATATAATCTACAGAGGTGCAATTTTCTTGAGTTTGGAAAACACCTTTTTGATAAGGTTGTCAATTGGATTATCTTTGTAACTTATTTTATTTGCATTCTTACTGGAATCATGCCCCCTTTCCATAATGATACCATCAGACAATTGAACATGATTATCATCAAATGTTTTTTGTTCCATTCCCAATTCTTAACAGGTAATCCGTGAACCAATTATCATTTTTAGCTCGCGTGTTTTGGGTAAGCCGAATCCTTCGCACATTGTCCCATATATATATGACTTTAGTAAAGTAGCATCAGTGATATGTGCTCTTGTTCCTCGTGTCACAATGGGAAGAAATTGCCTGAAGTCATCTCCAAACAACATGACCTTACCACCATAAGGTTGATTGCAACCTATTATATCTTGCAATGTTCTATCGACTGTTTCTACTGCTTGTCTCTTTGTCATGCCTACTTCATCCCATATTACCAAGGCAACCCTGCGAAGTAATTCAGTGGTACCACTCTACTTTCTAAAGTTGCACACAATGTTATTATCTAGCTTGATGGGATCTTGAAGCGGGAGTGTGCAGTGCATCCGCGAGGGCATGATACTTGCTGCAATACCAGATGTGGTTGTACCAATTGCTATAAGATTCATGGAGCGCACCTTTGCAACCAAAGCCTTATATAGATATATCTTGCCAGTTCCTCCTGGTCCATGAACAAAAAAATACTTGGCCAACTTTCTTCTCCACATGATTCATAATCAAATCGAACCTAGCTCTCTGCACAACTTTCAGTGTTTCTATCATTTTTAGATGTTCTTCTTCATATCCAATATTCAATTCTTCTGTAAGCTCTCTATAATGGTCTCTTGACACTTCATCTAATCAAATAAAGTGTAAAGGGTCATGTCAAAATTGACGAATAAGAAGCATTAATTTTTAATAATATTTAGTGACATATCAAATTGTTGTTTGTGATGTTAAGGTAAATAAAATGTTTATGAATCAATTTTCCTAAGGCATCTAGTTCAGAAAGTCCATAGTTTGTAATGTCTCTACCCATATCTTTAACATGTATAGATATATCTCTAAGCACCATTTGTTCAGCCATTTTGGAGTTGCAATTTGAGCGACGATAGTCCTCGGATATTGAATCAATATGTTTGTCCCATAGTGCTCGGACATTATTACACTCGCAAAAAACTATGATAGTTGCAAATAGCCTTCTCAGAGCACAAGGCATCTTAAATTGTGCAGATTTAGTGAGGCAGTCATCTAGGCTCTTGTCAGTTTCCACATAGCCCAAGGACTCACAAGCATCTCTAAATGTTGCATATGTAGTTCCATGTCGACTTCTAAGATGCTCGAATGAAGTTGCACCCCTCACATGGTTAAGAAGCACACGAAGATAGTATCGCTCTCCTTCAGCAGGATAGGCATACACCAGTCTTCCAATCTGACCACCTCTTTCTCTAGGTTTCCAATTTTTTTTTGACTTTATCCAAGTGAAGTGCTCACGGAACTCTCTATATAAATACTTTCGTGCACCAGGATTATAAATGTTTGTGCTGAAGTACTCTGTAAGCATGGACCGCTGAGAGTTAGGATTTCGCACAACATTGTTTAGATCATCCCTAGCTTTGTAGGCAACCATATGCTTTCATGAAAGGTGAACTTGCATTTGTAACACAGAAGGTGACATATCATACAAAGGAAAACCGTATAATCTATATATTGCCTCTATAGCTGTTATACACCTTCCATCTCTACTGCTTAATCTCATTAATAGCCAGTGGTTGCCCATCCATATTTGCCCGAGCTTGATTTATTGAAGCCAAAACACGGTCATGGCCCTTAAAGACATACTTGTATAGATACTTGGCACACTTTATGCTGTTGCAAACCTCTACATTAATATGATAATTATACCTCATTAGAAGGATTGGATTGTATGGCACAACCCATCTGTTGTCCAACCATTCTCTTCTTATTTTCACTTTTTGTCCATCATCTCTCCTTCTATAAATAAGATATGAGTTCTTTCCCTACAGGGTGGTTTCACAGAAATCACGGGGATAATGAAAGTGACAATTACCGTCTATCATACATGGTCACTTACGGTTGAGGACACCACATGGTCCATGCATCATATGTTTGCACACAAGTCTATGCAATTCTAGATATTTGTTCTGATCAGGAAGCTCTGCTGATATATACTTGTCATAATCATCAAGAGTGCGTACTTTGCTCTCATCTTTCATAACCAAAAGGAAGTGTTCATGTGGTAATCCCCTTTTTTAAAATTCAGTGACATGTGCCCAGGCAGCGACCTTGCCCAAATGATGTTTTTTAAGAAGAAAATCTTGGAGGTCTCATAGCTTTGCTCTATAAACCCTTGCTACGATATCTGGACGATCCTATGGCATTTGACCTGGCAATAATTGTTCTACTATCTCATACCAATATGGATTGGATGTCATTGTCACAAAAAATCTAGCTTTCCATATCGAGTAATCAAAGCCATGGCATCCATATACTTTGATTACACATCACGATCACTTCCTGGGAAATCTTTTGATAATACAATTCTATGACCAGCTTGTGATGCATGGGCTTCTCCAGCGGCAAGAGTGTCTAAAAGGCCCTGGTGAATATGTGTTAAAAGCTTATTAGTATTTCCTTGGGTTTGAAAATAGAAAAATCAACTTTCCAACTCAAATACATCTAATCTGGTATAGATCAGCACGAATTAGATCTTGATGCGCCGGTTTTGAGTACCAGTCTAAACACATTGACTCCACCTTCACATACATATCAATGGCCCAGTGCTGGAAAAGCCTCCCACCATGAAACATGACATTAAATTCTCCCTCACGAATTTGAAGCCTGAAACATAGATATTCCCTAGTGCTGACGTATCGTCGTGACTCTGTAATTTCTGTTCATAAAAACAACAAAAATGATTGAATTTCATTTTGTTTTGAGTTTATTAAATAGCTAAAACATCCTCACTTCATCATGTTGAGAAAAAAAATATTTTAAATAGATAAAAAAAATTTGCAAAGGAAATAACCTTCTTCATGTACATTCGTCTCCGAGACATCATTGATCTCAACAAGCGTTGGTCCTATGTAATAATAGAATATAAAAGTAAGAAATTTTTAATTGGTTGTTAACGAGATTTTGATGATAAAAAATTAGTGATTGTTTATGCAAATAACAAATAAAACCACCTTTTAGTACACGCTTAGCATATTTTCTCTTCGGTTTTGATGGGGGTGAGTCTTGATATAAAATCTTCTTATCCTCCCAACCAGTTTCACCATTAAGATTGAACAGAGGATATGCTAATGGATCATAACATCCATGGTACAGCCTTATATAATGAGGTTGATTTTCTTTACCGTAAATGACTATGCTTCGTTCAAACCTTTGTTGTGGATCATTTCCATCAAACCATATAGCGTCCACTTGCTCCATTGCGGGCGCATTATACCTTCTTTGGTCAACAGAAATACTTGTATTTAGCTCAATCGCGTAGCAATCCAAGTTGGTAAGAGTGCCTAGACTCTTAAATGCTTGAACATATGGATTGTGTCGCATGATGTTCAATATAGTGCGAATCACATTAGCGTCAAGGTGTGGTGATCTTTTCATCCTATGATGCATAGTCTCATATGTGTCATAAAAGTATAACTACAGGTGGCGTGGTCCCTTAGCACCGGGCATAAGTTCATCCAACCTGTGATATATTTGGCCATGAGCTTTAAATATATAAATACCAATACCTTTTGCTGTTTCCAGACTACGATCAATGGAAATCCCCATGCTTGTGAAAGAAAAGTGTGAATTGAAGTAACAAATGTTCCTTCTGAAATACTTTGCATCCTTGTCAGTTTGACTTGTGAACAATCGGTAGAGCTGATCTGAGACCTCTGGTATAAATATATTAACCCATCCGTTCCGACAACAGAATGCAGGACCTTCACCTTCAAACCTCTTTGCACGACAATAAAAGTAGTTCTCCACTTTATTCAAGACATGATGGGTCTCAGGAAGACCCACATACACAAAGTTATAAGGATCATGACCATTTATTCTTGTTATGGGCTCTATAGAATACTCGTATTTGAAATCTGCAATTTACAAATCAGAATTTCTAAACTTTGCATGACTATCAATAAAAAATAATTTAGGAAAAATGTCCTCACAAGCTCACCTTTATCATTAAACATTCTAGCTTCATCATCCTCGTATATGTCAGGGCCATCTTCATTTGGGTTCTGTTGATCTAAATCATTTTCTATTGAAAAAATATTAGACCATTACTCATTGCACATACAATGTACTTTTGGGATTTATAAGTACACGGTTTAAACTTTTCATACCCTCCATTCCATGCAATGTGTCTTCTGGTTCCCAAATGTCAGAATTGAAAGGTTCTTGATCAACTTTTTTTTGCACGATAATCATGTTGATATACACCTTTCCCAACACCTAAAACAGATAGGATTAAGCAGGAAACATTACTACTAACCTGTAATGTTTGACACTACATGTATAGGTGAAAATATATTAGTATCATGCCTAAAATATTAACATGTTTGACTCTACATGTATAGTTAAAAATATATTAGTATCATATACCTGACATATTAAGAGATGATGATATGAATTTCTTGGACTTGGCGGCAGCACTCAACTTAGCTTGATAATTACGTTGATACTCACGTTTTTAGCAAGGACCTCATCCTTCTTATCACCAGGCATTGCATGCCTATACCTCTTCTTGGCCATGTGCTTTAAAGTGTCCTGATCTTCAGGAGTGCCTTGATCTAAAACACTCAAAAAAAAATTAAAAGTACTATTTTTTCTAAAATGAACAGTACCAACAATAGAGAGCGAAGAGCAAAAACAAAAAAGAAGACCAAAAAGTAGAGAGCAAAAACCAAAGCAAAATACCTATATTATCAACTTGTGAAGCAATGTCCCGTTTCCTCTTACAAGAGTTGCCTTTATCATCCATTCTACTATCAGTGATTTCAGCCTCAGCCTTTAGACGAACCCGACGACTATGTTGGTACTCACGATTTTTTTCCCGAAATTCCTCTTTCTTGTGGTTAGGCAATGCAACATACCTGTCTCGTTGATATTCACGATTTTTTGCCCGAGATTCCTCCTTCTGAGCTATGATTTTAGATGGTGCAATCACTTTGGATGCATCAGCCTCGGCCTTCAGACGAGCCCGATGACTACGCTGATATTCACGTTTTTTTGCTCAAACTTGGTCCTTCTCATCGCTGGGCAATGCAGCATACCTATCTCGTTGATTCTCACGTTTTTTGGCATGAGTTTCCTCCCCATTGTTAGGCATGCCTACACAAACTTTGCCGGTACTTATTTCATACATTTGGCACTCCAGAATGCTTCAGCGTTAACTACACAAATTTATTATTTTTGCCAACAGAAGGAAGCTAAATCACATAAATCATTATAATAAATGAAGAAATTTTGGTAAGAGTAACATATGAAAATATATTTATAAATTATAAATCATTATAATAAATGAAACTTTTTTGGTAAGAGTAACATATGAAAATAAAAAAAAATTAAAGGCAGAGGATAAAGTTATGATTTTACCAAAATTAATTTCCGTATTTGGATCTCTAATTATTTTCCTCCGATTTTTACAGGTCTCTGCATGGATTAGTACAAAAGCGAAAGTTCTATTAGCTTGTACTGTTCATCTTCTAAAGGAAACCGGGCGGCGAGCACGCACCGGTGTGTTGTTAACGTCCTTGTTCGCCAATGCAACGTCGTCCTCCCCTGTCTTTCGCTTCGTCCACAGTGCGTCCGCCGGAGTCCAGCACCAGGGCTACTGCTTCATCGCTGCCGTAGTGCCGCCCCGGCACGTGAAGCAATGGCGCTGGTGGCCGTCAGCCTGTCTTTCACTTCGTCCACGGTGCGTCCACCGGAGTCCAGTGACCTGCGGATATATAGACCAATGAAATACTATGAAATATGAATGCTTTATTATGTATCTATATAACTATACTTAAATATCTATGGGTTTGCCAAAAAAAATGGCAGGGGCTGCTGGAGCGAGGCGCCAAGTACGTGATCGTGGAGGGGCTGCCACTGACGCGGTGCCTGCCGCTGGCCATGACGCTGGCGCGCGCCGACGACCGCGACGCCGTGGGCTGCACGGCCTCCGTGAACCGCCAGAGCTACGCGCACAACCGCCGGCTCCTGGCGGGCGTCCGCGAGCTCCGGCGGCGGCACCTGGGCGCCGTCGTCGCCTACGCCGACTACTACGCCGCGCAGCTCGCCGTGATGCGGGCGCCCGCCCGGTACGGCTTCAGCGAGCCCTTCCGGACGTGCTGCTGGCGGTGGTGGTGGCTCCGTCTCCGTGACTGGTGACCGGTGTGCGGCGTGATGCGGTGCCGACGCCGTGGGCTGCGCGGCCTCCGTCAACCGCCAGAGCTACGCGCACAAACTCCGGCTCCTGGCGGGCCTCCGCGAGTTCCGGCGGCGGCACCCGGGCGCCGTCGTCGCCTACGCCGACTACTACGCCGCGCCCGCCCGGTACGGCTTCAGCGAGCCTTCCGCACGTGCTGCTGGCGGTGCTGGTGGCTCCATCTCCGTGACTGGTGACCGGTGTGCGGCGTGATGCGGTGCCGCCGTGCCGGTGTGGCCGCGCGGGGTTCGGCTGAGACGGGCGTGGGCACGGGCGGATCCAGCAGGGGGGCTCCCCTACCCATACCGAATCAGTGCAAATTACTGCAGAGCTCCTATGATTTTTTAGTCAAAGTTCTAGGAGGGAGGTCGAGAGATCGAGCTACCCGATCGCCGCTGCGCGTATCTGAGAGGAAGCCTACCCGCCGCGGTATCTGAGTTTCGCGGTTATAGGACGATGAAGACCGCGTAACCGCCCGCTCCCTGTCCTCCCGCGCCGCGCCGACGAACGGTGTCGCCTCCGGGACAGCGTCCGCTCGAGTTCGCAGATGGGCGAGAGGCCGAGGCGGCGTCTGCGTCCCGGCGTTTCGGGAGGGAAAACAGTGCGCGGGGGGCAGAGGGGGTGTGGGTACGACCGCGCGGGTATGGATTCATCACCGGTGAAAAAAATTGAAGGAAGTAACGTCCGGAAAGAGAGAAACACGCATGTTTTATAAGTTAGATATAGATACATGGATTAAATATGTGATGTGTTAGATGAATGTTCATGAAAAATATTGAGTAAAATTAATAACGTGTTGATGAATAAAGATTTGACCATTTGGTAGGTTCAACGCCGAAATAAATTACGGTCCAACAAAGAAAAATAGCAACAAAATTAAGATGCAATTCAGTAGTCTAAATAGCAAGTAAGAAGCTTAGTTGGTCACATATATAAGAATATACTCACAGAACATATTCAGACCAAGATTATAGATTGATCACACAGTAGTTACACAAAGATTTTTTCTACAAGACCCAGTTACAGATGCAGACGCTCACAAACACGAGTGCATATTCACCTCTATGACGCATGCATGCACAACCTACCCCTATGAGCACCTCCGAAGAATTGGGTTGGACCGACAAATCTCGAGATTGACAAAGTCACCACAGGCGTCTCGCTGTCGATGGTCATGTCGCCTACCACTTAAAGAATAGCGTTGTTTCCACAGGCGTCTCGCTGTCGATGGTCATGTCGCCTACCACTTAAAGAATAGCGTTGTTTCACTACTACAGGAATCATTTTTAGCGACGTCACCCTTTTCTATCAGAGGCAGTTCAACTAGTACGCCGCCTCTAACCGCGCTAGTGAGCACTGTAGCTCCATGACCACCTCTGAAGATCCATTTTCACGTGCGGTTCTATTAAGAAAACCGCCTCTGATAGACGTCTATTTTCAGGGGCGGTTGCATTAATAGAACCGTCCCTGAAAATGGATCTTCAGAGACGGTCCTCTTTACAAAACCATCTTTAAAAGTGACCTATTTTCAAAGACGGCTTGTTAAGAGAACCACCCCTACAAATACATTAACAGAGGCGGTTCTCTTTAGTCAACTGCCCCTAAAAATGCTCCCCATAAATACTCCTTCCTCCTCGGAACATTATGCATGCCGAGCACCATTAGCTCACTTGGAGGGCGAGAAATAGCAAAAATAGAGGGGGGAGGTTTTGCCCTTTAAACCTTTGAAGGAGTTGGGTTTGGGAGGTGAGATAGTGGCATACCTAAACTCTTTTCAAACTTTTCATGTTCATTTCTTTCACTTAGAGATATAGAGAGAGACATGCATGATGTTAGATTTTTTTATTATTTTTCCTAGTAATTTAGACTGATTTTTGCCCAACTTACTTTGGCTCACATGAACTCTGGTTAATTTCTATATTTACTTTATCATTTTTTAAGCTTTAGGTCTAGAATAATGTAATATTTGTATAGAAAAATAGACATCAATTTCTTCAACATTTATATGCGAATAATACCTTCATGTAAATATAAAATTTATTTTCGAAGGGCACATATGGACAGGTTATGGATGTACACGAAAAGAAAACATGGAGCTTCCTACATACAAGATGTGAATGGTTTTATTGAAGCAGCTAAAATGAAGCAGCTAAAAGGCGCGCTTTGATTAAGCAGACAAATGATATATATTGTCCCTGTGTTGACTGTCGAAACCGTATAGTATGCCGAGATCCAAATACGATAAGATCACACTTGGTAAAAAGGGGTTTTTATGGAGAGCTACGAGATTTGAGATCATCATGGTGAGAGACGTATAGAAGTAGGCAACATGGAAGGTACAAATCCACCAGAAGTAAGGAAAGATGACAATGCCCATCGTGTCATGATGCATGATGGTCCAGGAGATGACGCTGTAGGCGGTGGTGGTGGCGATGGCTGTGGTGGTGAAGAAGGCTGTGGTGGGGAGGATGATGGTGAAGACAATGAAGAAGATGAAGAAGAAGACTTCCTGGACGACATGTTGCGCCACGTAGAACAAGAATTACTATTGAAAAGGGCTAGATAACTTGGAGATGGTGCGAAAGGCAAGGGAAGAACGTTTGTACCCAAAGGAAAAGGGTTGTGAGAAAAAGTGGTCGTTGCTATGTTTTGTGCTAAACATACTGATCTTGAAGGCTAAGTATGGCTGGTCCGACAGGAGCTTCTATGACCTATTGACTCTGTTTGGCTGCTGTGCTTCCTAAGCCAGATTTTGTGTCTACCAACACGTATCAAGCGAAGAAGCTTATCAATCCACTTACGATGGGTGTGGAACGAATACATGTGTGTCCGAACCATTGTATCCTTTATCGTGGGGTGTTCAAAGACCTAACGAAGTGTTGAAACTATGGTGCTAGTTGATACAAAGTAAACGAAGGCTGTAGTGAGGGTACTAACACTGGAAAAAAAAGAAAGAAGGGCGGAAAGAAAAATGACGCTTCGCAAAACATTCTAGAGGAAATAGCACCTTAGCAGTAGATGATACTAACCAAAGAAGAATTCTTGCATTGCTTATGTGCTATCTATCACCGATTGATCGCTTGAGGCATTTGTTCTCAAGCCCAAGGGACTCAGAGCTCATGCGATGGTGGGCTTTGGATGAACGCAAGAAAGACGATGGAGTGCTACGTCACCCATCCAATGCATAGTAGTGGAAGGACATCGATGCCAAGTACCAAGAATTTCATGAAGATCCAAGAAATGTTAGGTTCGCTTTGAGCACTGATGGAATGAATTCTTTTGGTGACAGGACCAACACACACAGCACATGGCCAGTTATTCTATCGATCTACAACCTCCCTCCATGGTTGTGTCAGAAGAGGAAGTATTTGTTTCTGACCATTATAATTTCAGGGCCCAAAGCACCAGGCATCGACATAGATGTTTTTCTCGAGCCATTGATGCAAGAAATGGGACACTATGGAAGCATGGGTGGGATGAGCTTGCAAAGAGTACCTTCACATGCAAAGCCATCATTTATGTTACCATCACTGACTACCTAGGACAGTTTTCCCTTTTAGGACAGATCAAAGGATTCATGGGATGCTCAGAATGCTTGATTAACACTGCAGCTCAGTTCCTCGAGGGATCCCAAAAGGTAGTGTACATGCATCAACGACGCTTCTTAGTTGGCAAAGGTTTTGTGAATAGAAGTCCACACTTGAGGCCTTAGCCTTGAGTGTCATGAACAGTGAGCTAGCGAAGAAAAACATTCACCCTCATCGTCTCGGCTTGGCTGGATATGGCCCGAAGGTTGAAAAGTGGAGATCAGTGGCTGAGGCTGCTAGGGAAGCTGGTGTTCCGTATAAATATGAGGGCTTAGAAGAACGCACATTGAACTGGGTTAGAGCTAGGGAAGTTAAGGACA